GGCGAGCGAGGCGCACCCTTCCCCTCTCCTGAGCGCGCCGACTTGCATAGGCGTCGGGACCAAGCTCAAGGAACAGGGGCCGCGCTCCCGAGGCGTTTCACCGCTGACGCGATAACGACACGTTTCCTTTTCTGTACAAACATCGCGTGGCCACACGTGCAGTGGCTGGGCCTACGCACACCCGGGCTTTCAGCGCCAGCCCCGTAGCAGGTCAGGTCCGCGTGCCGCGTGCCGTCCCCGAGAACACGGCTGGCAGCTCGCGGAGACGCTCGGCCAGCGCCTGATGCCCGATGTGTCTGTGCGACGGTGGGCCGCTGCTGGCCGCGGCTGGTCTCAGCGGGTGCCTGCGCAGTCCCCGGAGGGGGCGCTGGTTGGTGGCCGAGAGCCCATGTAGCCGCGGTGCCGGGTGCTATTTCGGTGCGTGCGCCCGAGAGGACGCCGGCTCCTTGGCAGCGGCCTCGGGAGCCTCCCTGGACGTCCCTGGGAAGGGGCCGCTCTGCGGGAACCCGAGGCCGAGCTCCCACAGGCATGAATTGCTGCAGGGGAGGGGTGGGGGAGGGGGCCGCGTCTGCTCCCAGGCCCAGGGACAAAGAGCGCGGGGAGGACGGCTGCCAGCCGAAGCTTTTGTCCCGGAATCCAGAGCGGACAGCGTTCCAGGCAGCCGGGCGCTCGGGGAAAGCAGAGTGACCGGCTTCTCTCAGCCCAGGGAACCGGGGCGGCCTCCTCCCGCCCCTCCTCCCGGCCCGGGGTCCCCGGAGCCCCCAGGCACGGGTGGTCCTGAGAGAGGTCCCACACGGCTGAATGGCTGGGATCGCGTTCACACGCCGTGAAATGGGGCCTCGTCCAGCACAAAGCTCCGCCTCCCTCCAGCCAGCGGGCCTCTGCCTCTCACGCTTTTTTTCCGGAGGCTGTGACTCGACCAGTCTGGGCTTTCCGGGTTTATGGGTTTCGCAGACAACCTTAATCTAATCTCGCTTTCTTCCTTCTTTCCTTCAATTTTGGCAAGGGCGAATGCAATTCAGTAAACAGCGTCAAAGTGTGCGAGACCACGGCAGACTGTGTCACTGTTTACCTGTTTTTAAAAACCTCCCTCAGCTTCCTAAGCAGTTTCCACGGGGAGACAGGAGGTGGCCGTGGGCTCAGCAACGCCTCTCGTCTGGAGACGCCTTTTGCAGCTTCCTCGCTCTCCCTGAGCCGGACGCTTCCCTCCCTTTGACGGGGACGCGCCTCCCCCTCTCGCACTTGGCTTGGGGACAGGCGGGAGGTTTGGTTCAACGTGAGTGGCATTTTCCCAGCCACCTGCTGGTCCGAGCGCGTCAGCTGGCCGGAGCGCGACAGTGGAGGGGGCTGCCCTTGGCCCGCGCCCCGCCCCCCCCACATTCCTCCCTGGGGAGGTCGGAACAATGCTCCCTGAGGCAGGGACGCAGGCCAGGGTGTTCTCTCGCGCTGCACCGGCTCCGGGGAGCATTTGACGGCCTGGCCCAGCTCGCAGGCCCCTGTGCTCTGTCCAGAGGCGAGATCTTAACAGGCACGTGCGTGTCCGGGGAATAGAGGAGCCCGAGAAACACTCGGCACCCATGACCGTGAACTCGTGGGGCTGTTGTTCCGGCCATTGCGCTCGACCTCGGATCCCCGAGCAGACCGAACACGCAGGCAGCCGGGGCTCTGCTTCTGAGGGAGGAAGCTCTCGCTGCAGCTGGAACGCGGGCCGGCGAGCAGTTCCGGCTGCTGACCCACTGAGTGACCGCCCCCGGGGGTGTTTCCTCCCACACGCCAGCCCCGATCTGTTCTGGGAGGCTGGCCCAGGGCCTCCGCTGCGCCTGGCACTTTTTCTCATCATCACCATCATCATCATCATCATCATCATCATCGGGATTGTTCTAGTTATCACTGCTGTTACTACCCGCCGCCCTCCCCCCCGGCCAGTACGACCAAGCTGCGCCAGGCTGGCTGGCGAGCAGGGAGGGCACAGGTTGGGGAAGCCCTTTCATTTGCCGAGTTTGAACCCACTGTGGAAAGGACCCTCTGGTCCCAGCTCACGGGGCTCTCAGGGCCCTGTGGTCAGATCCACGGCCCCCCCAGGGAAGGGCAGTGTTCCGGGGGGTATCGTTTCCCAACCAGCACGAAGACGAGGTTGTTGGAGGTGTTTGGAAGGACAGCCTCTGTGTGTGTGTGTGTGTGTGTGTGTGAGAGAGTGAGAGAGAGAGAGTGAGAGAAATAACGAAACAGAAAGAGAAACTTAGAGAGAGAAACACACACACACACACACACACACACAAAGAGAGAGAGAGAGAGAGAGAGAAACAGAGGGAGAAGAGAGAGGGGAGTAAATACCAGGGTCTCCGGCGGTAGCTGGGTGACAGCCACTCTCTCTGTACCCACAGGGATCCCCCCCCCGCCACGTTCAGGAGCACAGTCACACGCCAGTGCCTCTTTGTTCTGTGAACCTTAGCATTTCCTGTAGCCGCAGAACACAGTAGCTGAAGCAAACAGGATCTCAGGAAGGCAGGTAAAAATATGTACTGTGGGCACGACTCATTGTTCTTCCCCCCCAGGTCTCTATGTGGTCCGTACAGCCAGATGAATGTATTTTTACTTGTAACCAAATGGCCCTCCCTTCCAAATCTATGCGCCTGCCTTCAGGGGGAGAGAGTCCTTTAACAATGTGTCCGTTACAAGGAACTATGGTTGCCTTAGCAACAAGGTCCTCAGCATTTTTCTTCCTTTGTGTTAAGGAAACTCATTGTACCCAAAGCGTACTCGTTTTTGCGCCCTGAGGCCAGCGAGGTGGGCCGGCAGCCCCGCTGACACCCGCGGACGGAAGTCCCCGAGGAGGAGGCGACCCCCCGGGGCAGAGACGATGCTGCAGCCTAGAACCAGGTCCCAGAGGGTGTGAGCCCCGGCCTGTTCCGGGGAAGAGTGCGGCCCCGAGAGGTCGAATGGCCTGTGGGGGGCCCTGCAGACAGGTGGCCGCAGGTGCAGGCCCCTGACCCCTCTCCGGGCCGTTCCCACCCCCGCAGACCTCTGAGAAGTTGTCTCGCAGCTCAGGTTCTGTAAGTAAGTCCTGCTTCGAATGCACGCGGTAACCAGACACGTCAGAAAACCCTGCACTGAATCTCTCCACGCGTCACCTTCCCGCCTGCCCCGCGGAGCCGTGTGTGTGAGCACAGAGCGCACGTTAGTGCTTGCTGAGAGCCCCCGCGTGCCAGGCAAAGTGCTGGCCGGTAACGACCGCTAACCTGCTTGTCTCTGAGGCTTGTGCTCTGTTCTGTGAGTGGGTAAACCGAGGCACGGCGCGGGGAAGCGGCCGCACCCTGGCGCTGCGACAACCCCAGAGCGGCGCTCTCGCGGTGACCCCCCCCCCCCCCACACACACACAGAGCTCGCCTGGAACGACGTAGCCCCCGGACGAGCTTCCACACAAGTTGGCAAAGGTGAGCCGTGACCCTGGAAACCAAACACAGATGCGCGGATGTCGGATGTACAAGAACCCTCGCTCTCATCTCCGGAGATTAGGCCAAAGGAGACACTCAGTCTGGAATGCAGGGAAGCGCGACGCCAGTACGAGGACGCTCGCTGGAACGGATGGCTCAACCCAACAGGTGTTGCCGCCCACGTCCCCGCAAGGGGCGCTGAGGGTTAGCAAAACAAACACGATGCTTAAGGCCCAGAGGCAGCGTGAGGCCGAGTGAGAATTGGAATCTGAGTCCTGCCCGGCCCCCAACTCAATTCTGCAGGTGCCTGCTGAGGTTGAAACAATGACCTTGAAGCTCAGGGACGCTCCCCCAGGCGCTGGGTCCCCCCACCCCCGCCCCGCCGGGCCTGACCTCTGCTGGGTGTGGCGCACAGCCCGCACTGCAAGCACCGGCCTGTAGGTGGCGCCCGTTAGCACCGTCGCGGAGGTCACCGAGTCCTAGCTTTTAAGTCACGAAGGGAGCCAATACCGAAGGAGGTTTAGCCAGAGACAACACCTGCGAGCAGAACAAGGCGCCCTGAGGTCCAGCGGCAGTGGCTCAGACGCCAGCAGCACTAGGGACCCTGGCCAGCAGCCACCAAGCCCCAGCAGATTTAAGCTGCCATCAAAACCCAAGCTGTGGTTTTAAACATTTCCGAGTTCAGAACCAAACGGCAAAAAGACAGACGCCCACACGATAAACTGCGAGAGGGTCCTAGTAGGTATCTGTGCCCTTGGAATGTCCTTCAGCGAACTTGAATACTTGGGTATCCCCCAGACCTGGCTCGTGCTCCTTTAAAAATCACTTGATAGAGTTCTCGCAAAGTTAGCCTAGACATGGTTTCCTAGGGAAAACCACCGAACTTGGGGGGGGGGTGTCCCGGAGCCCACAACACCGTGCATTCAGGCAGCTCCCCAGAGCCCCCGCCTGCGGGCCAGTGTCCTGGGCAGCCTTTGAGGACGGCAGCGGCAGATGGCTGGATTACCGTGTGAAATCACAGCCCTCCGGCCACATCCCACCGCCCGGCTCGACCCGTGGAAAGCTGTGAAATGGGACGGGAAACTCGGCCGTGTGCCGGTGGGTGTCCCGGCCACACATCCCGCCTGGAAGAGAGAGGGAGAGGCAGGGGGGTTGGGGCCCGAGGAAGAGTGAGGGGAAGATCCGGGGTGGGTGGGGCAGGCGGCGCAGGTCAAAGCAGCAGGGGTCCGTGGAGGACCGTCCCGTCCCCCTGTCCCCCTGTCCCCCTGCTGCTGCGGCTTCCCCCAGGTGCCCAGGAGGGAGCCCAGGAGGGGAGTGGGGGACACATTTAGTTCTGTTTCCCAAGCTAAACTCGACTGGATCTAGTCCTGGCCAAACAAGTGTACAGAGGCACGGACCCACTCCCTGGCCCCCACTGCTCGGCCTCGGGCTCCTTGGGCGGCCAGAGGGACCCCCGCCACCGCCATCCCAGCCGGAGGGCACGCGAGAAGGTCCTCCGGTCCTTGCCCAAACCGGGCAGCAGTTTCCAGTAGACCAGTGTGGCTGCTGGCAGAAAGACGTATTTACCTTCACCAAAAATATCATCCTCTTCATCGACCGGGAACTCCTCGGGGTCCGGAGACTGCATCGCGGCGAGGGCGGTCCGAGCGCGGCAGGCAGGGGCAGGTGGTCCCGGCAGTGGCCCTGGCGTCCCAGCTGCCACACCGCCCTGGGCGGTTTCCTTCCCCGTTGCCTAAGCCCCGGGGAGGGCAGCTTCCGCTTCAGCCCCAGAGAGCGGCTTCATTCATACGAACGGGCTGCCTGGGCCGTAGGACGGCTGGCGGCCGCGTGCCAGGCGGGGCGTCCTCGGCCCCCGCGGGAGGAATTCTCCTGGCCGGGGCTGCACAGCCGGCGCGGTCTCCCTGCAGACAGGGCCCCGGGTCTGAGCCCCGGGACTTCTGCGTCAAAGCCACAGCTCCTGCCGTGCCTCAAAGAGGAAGGCGGGCCCTCAACTGCCGTGTGAGTCTGAACACAATGAGTCATGTCGAAAGAGGAGGGCTCGCGTTCTCCTGTGCTGGGTTTGCTTCAGTGACAGTGCAGCTGACAGAAACGCCGCCCCCCGGGACCTGGCTGTCCCTGCGCTTAGCGACAGCTGCCCTTTCCCCGTGCAGACTCCTCGCACTTGGGGATTCCGACCTCGACGACGCTGAAACCCGACGTGACGCACCTCCAGGCTCTTCCTGGGCCCACTCAGTCGACGGCCAATCAATAGGCAACCAGTCTGGGTCAGACAACTTCCGTTTCACGATGTTCTCCCAGCCTGGTTCTCTGGACTGTGTTGCTGCAGGGGCCGGGAGAAAACGTCACGCCACAGGCGGCTCCCCCCAGAGGGAGCTGCTGGCGGCGGCACCATGGCGGCCGGCTCCCCGGCGCTGCGTTCCGCGTGGCCGTTCAAACCAGATCTCGAGTGGTGGCGCGCCGGCGTCGGTGGGAGTCCCCGGCTCTCGGCCGCGAGGTCAAACCTCCCAGAGGGTCAGAGGCTCAGAAGATGCGAACGCGGAGGGCGGTGGGGAGCCTGGACCCAGGGTGATTCCTTCTGGGGACCTCGCTTACCCGGGGGGCTGTGGTGATACGTGGATACATTTCAACAGGCTTTATTTTTAGAGCAGTTTTAGGTTCGCAGCAAAATTGCCGGCAAGGCACGGAGGTTGCCCACACCCCCCGCCTCACACCGGCGCAGCCCCCTCCTCGAGGACGCCCCCTCGGAGGGGCGCAGCGGTCACACCCGGCGAGCCCGCACCGACGGGCCGTCTGCACCCAGCGCCCAGGGCGCGGCGCAGGGCTGGCCCTCCGTGGTGCTGGTTCTCCGAGCTCCGACAGTCACACGCGTAACGTCACGCGGCCGCCCTGGTAGACTTGCACGAAGGGGTCTTATGGCCGGAAGATCCCGCGTCCCGCCTGCCTGTCCGTCCAGCCCCAGCGCCGGGCCACGGCGGACGTGTCACCGTCCCCGAGTGTTGCCTGTCCCAGAATGCCACGCGCTGGGCGCGCGCAGCACGCAGCCTCTTCAGGGGGCTCCTGGACGCCGCGGTGGGTCCGCGAGGGCCCCCCCCCCGTGTCTTCTCACGGCCTGACGGCTGCCGGTGTTTGGCGGTCCGGCTGCTGCACGGCTGACCCGCCGCCTGCGGAAGCACGTCTCGGTGGCTTCCCCGTCTTGCCAGCTATGAGCAAGGCTGCCGTGAGCACCTCCGTGCGCGGGTTTCTGTGTGCACGTGAGTTTCCAGGTGCTTCGGGCCCACGCGGAGGACCGTGCGACGAGAGTAAGCTGGACGGTCCGAGACACCTGGGCTGTGCCCCCGGGAAGGGGGGCGGCACCGCCCACGCGCCCAGCCGCAGGGATAGAGCGTCCCTGCGCCCCCCCCCCCCCACGTCCCAGCAGCACTCGGCGGTGTCCGAGTCCTGACTGTGGACATGCTGACGCTGCGTGCTGGCCGCTCTTTGTCCTGATGGGGGCTTCCGAGGAGCCCCCGGTGCTACTCTGCAAGCGGAGACCCTGGCCCCGAGCGTGCCCTTGAAAGGACACCAGCTTCTCCCCGGGAGCGGAGGAGACGCAGGACGGACAGGTCTGGCCGCGAGAAGGCGCCCCCTGCAGGCACTCCGGCGAGTAGCCGTGAGGAGCTGCCCGCGGCCCAGCGGTGGGCTCCGCGCCCCTGCGGCCCTGGCTGCTGTGGGGTCCCCACCGAGCACGCGCAGTGTGGATCCACTGGGGCCGCCCAGTGCCCGCCGCCCGGCTGGGACCACCCCAGGAGGGAGTTTGGAAATGTGTGGGTGTTGGGGCTTGCACAACGACGGGGGTGTTACTGGTATCAGCATCTCGGGGACCTTCCTGCAAGGCAGGGGGTGTGGCTCGCGCGGAAGAACCGTTCCGCCCCAAATGCCAGTCATGCCCCTCCCCCCTGAGAAACGCCTGGCCCGCGCTGGGGCTGCCGCCTTCCTCCAAACCTCGTGCCCCGCCCTCCACCGCCCTTCACCCCGATGCACTCAAGGGACATTCGGCGTCAGGGGTCCCACTGAATGATCTCAGTGAGATGAGCTGCAAGGGGCCTGGGCTGTGAGGCGGTGCAGCCACTGTGGAGCACAGCCTGGGGCTTCCTCAGAAAACCGAAACTCCAGCGGCGGTCCGACCCAGCCACTCCTCTCTGGCATTGACCTGCAAGGGGCAGGACAAGGTCTCGAACGGGCACTCGCCCACGGGTTTGTCGCGGCACCGGTCCCGGCCGCAGTCGGGGTCCGGAAGGCACCCCGGGGACCGTCGGTGGGAGAGCGGCGAACGGAATGTGCCGTGGGCCCACAGTGGCATGTCCCCCAGCCTCGGGAAGGAGGGAGCCCCGTCCCAGGCTATGACACGGACGAACCTGGAAGACACCGCAGGGAACGAGCTAAGGCAGCCGCTACCCAGACGAACACTGCACGGCCGCACCTCTCTTCTGTGAAGGGTCTGAGGGCGTCAGCGTCGCAGACACGGGGAGCAGACTGGTGGCTGCCGGGGGCCGGGGGCCGGGGGCCGGGGGCCGGGGGTTTGTTCCACGGGCAAGCGGTTCCGTCGGGCCGGCGTGCAGAGTTCTAGACGCTAGGGATGTGGCGTGCGTGAAGCTGTCAGCGCTGCAGCACAGACTGAAACAGCGGGCGGGCCGGTGCGGGCTGTGTGTTCTGTGCCGCCGCCATGTGCACGGCCGCGGCCCCCGCGCAGGAGACGGGGCTGTGGCCCGTTGGCTGGGGCTGGGGGAGAGGACGGGTGTCCCCGCTGGGCGGGACCACACTCCTCGCCCTTTGTCCTTGCTCTTCAGTCTTCCCGACCCGGAGGTGGGGGCTCTCACCCCGTTCACAGAGGAAGAGCTCCCAGGACTCGTGTGGGCACGCATGGATACGAGCGGCCGCCTGGACCAACGCCAGCGCCCGCACCGCGGCTCCCGGCAGAACAGCTCTGCACCCCGGGGCATCGGGCACCCTGGCGTCCCTGTGGGTCTTGGGGGTCCTCGCCACTTCCGGTCTCTCCTGCCTCAGAAACACCCGGTCAGCGAGTCGGCCTAACCTTCGCGGCCCGTCTCCTCGGGGTGGGGGGTGCAACTGTGGAGCTCCCAGTCCCTCTGCTGGGTCCTGGCCCCCCGGACCCCAGAATGTGGCTACTTGGAAGTAAGGCCATTGCTGATGTGATGGGTGAAGATGAGGTCCTGCTCGGGTGTGGTGGGCTGCTGACCCGATGTGACCTGTTCTCCTACACGGAGGGGGGGGGGGTGCAGGCAGGGAGGACACCGGGGGAGATGGAGACAGACAGAACGCCGCCAGCCAGCCGGCAGACACCGGGGCGAGTCCGGAACCTTCCCCCTTTCTCCATCACGGAAGGAGCCGGTCTTGTGACACCTTGACCTTGGGCTTCCAGCATCAGAGCTGTGAAGCGGTAGCCGTCTGTGGTTTAGGCCCCCGGTCCGGGGCGCTGTGTTGGGGAGGTCTCCAGAGAGGCAGGGGAGGCTGGGAAGCCTGTCCGCAGTGGGACCGGAGCTCCCGCCGGTGACGTTGTTTCCCTCTGAGCACTTCGCAGGCGGCAAATTACTGTTTTCAACCGTAAGCCAGGCAAAAAGGTTCACGATTAACAAAGAGCTGATCCTTATAACCTGAATTCTCACACCACAAACTAGCAATGACCGTGTCGATTTTCACACGCCCAACATAACCCGTGTGCGGTCCCTTCCACGTCCACTTAAAACGGGCCCCCCCGTGGCTGGAATACAGCAGGCGCGCACACGGGCGTTTCTCAAGTGGGGAAGGACGTGAGATGAGGAGGGAGAAACGTCCAGAAACAGAAAGGAGAACAAAGCAGGAGAGAGGAATTGAAACTGTGTGGAGTGGTTGGAATCCAGGAAGAAAAAGAAAGTAAAGACCCCACGGAACCAGAAATAATCTTATCTCTGGGCAACTTTGCCCACAGCAGCACACGGAATGTGCCGAACCGCAGAGGGCCACCACCGAGCCGCCGGCCCTGCAGGGACCTGGTTTGTAACGGTGTTCCCGTTTCCCCGCGGCGAAGGGGCGGCACCCACTCCGGGGTGACAGCCCGCCCGGAGGCTGGGCGGGCCTACGCTCACCCCCCACCGACCACCGCGGCAGGGGCGTCCCCGGGCGGTCCGGGTGCTGAAGCAGCCGATGGGACAGGATTGCCGTCCTCAGTGGGACCTGCGGCGAGGAGGGGAACTGCCCAGCGCACGGACCTGCTCTCCCCTCCAGCAGAGGCCCAGCCCAAGGAAGCGGTTTTCCACCCGCGTGCCCCGAGAGTTTTTAAACCGCGCCACACCTGCCTCTGTAGTCAGGGGCACTGACCTCTTTTCCCTGAGATTGTCAAAAGAAAAAAGAAAGAGAGAGAGAGAGAGAGAGGGAAAGAAAGAAAAGGAAGGAAGGAAGAGCCGACACAACAATAGCCTTCCGGGGTGAACAAATCAAAAGTGTATCTATTTTCTTGTCAGATGGCAAAAAGACATGATTTGGCACGCGCCAGAATTTTAGCGATGAGCTGACGTGGGCCATGCAACGAACCGGGCGGAACGTCGCTGCTGGGGTGAGACCAGCACAGGGCGGGGTTCCCGCGGCGACAGCGACAGCGTTGGCCATGGGCACCGTCGCTGAGCCAGGAGCTGCAGCCAGCGGGAACCACCGGCCTCCTCAAGGGCCTCGGAGGGAGGCACCGGCGCGGGGATGTGAGGGAACACAGCCGCGATCCCGGCCCTGCCGCGCGCCGGCCCTCTGATGGGCGGAGAGGCCAAACCCGACCCGGACTCTGGGTTGGGGGGCGGCGGGGGGGACCCCTGCCCATCGGCCCTCCCTGCTCTCCACCGTCACCGCCACGCAAACTACACATGTACACACGTTTCACTACACGTGTGCCCGTCACACAGGTTTAGAACTGTGGCTTTAGGCAGCTGCCTTTGAAATAACACGGAGGGAAGTTACACACGAAAATGCGTTCCTACTGGCCTGCCTTTTTGCTTTCGCCGT